AACTAGAGAGTCTTACTAAGGGAATGAGGCAACTAGAATTTGTTTCAAGAACACTAATGAGTGGATATTCATCACAAAAGAACCAGGACAAGGAAACAAGAGAGCATAAAGATCAGGATTGCTCATGTAATTGAAGTCCAACCACCTTTTTTATATGTTTCAGGCACATGCATTGCACTTTTAAAAGAAATGTAACTTTAGTTGCAGGGGCATTTCTGCCATGTTGATATTTGTAACATCAACATGTTAATTTTAAAATTAAATTAAAGTAAATTTAAAAAATTGTTAAGGGATTAGGCTATAGAGACTGAAAGACCATAAGTTCTGCTCCCACCCCAGGCACAAAGCCAGCTGAGCGACCTTGGGCTAGTCACTCTCTCAGCTCTAGTTGTGGGGGGGCAGGGGGGAGGGAAACACTTGTGAAGAACCTTGCCAGGAAAACCACAGGGACTTGTCCAGGCAGACTCTGAGAATCAGACGTGATTGAACACAAGGAAAATACATGTACAGATAGAACCCTCAGGCACCGCCTACCTTTATCATATTGGTCTTGCTTGTCTGGATAACCAATAAATCCCTAAATCCCTAAAATTTTGCAAAAGGGACTTGTTTGCAACTTTCCTTTTTTGTTGGCTGCATAGATAAACATAGAGAAATTTATTCTAGTTCTCCTTGATTATAATCAAGCTGCAGGATGAAAAACCAAGGTTGTTTTGGCCATAAAAAAGAATCTCAAATATATATTAAGGCAATGTGGTTACTTCAATAATATGCAAGCCACTTCAGCTCTCTATGACTGCATCTTAAGAATGATGATAACCAAGCAAAATGTCTTTTTAAAAATATTTTCTTTTAAAAAAAGGATTGTGATTGACATTGTGACTACATCTTATCTTGTGATGAGAACAGTCTTTACACTGTCCATTCTAACAATAAGCCACAAGCCCTGCACATTTCTTGATTGTTTAGGATTTACTGTGCTGTTTTCCAGAGCTTCTTCTCTTATTAACTTGAGAGATAAGACTCAAGTAGATAAATACATGAATACTTTCTTGTACATTTCTTGGCAAAACTACAAAAAAAATAATAAACATGGAGTCTAGTAGCACTTTCAAGACTAATCAAATTTATTAGAGCATAAGATTTTGAGAACAGCTTACATCCTAATAAATTTAATCTTGAATGTACTACCAGATTCCACTTTGTTCATAAACTAACTTGGCTCTTTCCCATCTCCAGTTTAGACTATTTTTCCCACTATCTCCGTCTGGGATATGGTTTTGAAATATTTTACAGCTTTGAAATATCATGGTGACCCTAGTATCCACATTTATCTCTGCATAGCTATTCAAAAATCAGCCAAGGTTGCATAGATGTTTAAACAAACGGGGGGGGGGGGCACAAACGATACATGGTTTATTTCAGGTTTTTTTTTTTTTTGGTCTGGCAGCATGAAGAAGCCATGGCAGATGATAGAGGAAGGAAGCAGTGAAAAAGGAACTGATCCTAGATAGATAATGTGAAAAGTCTGAAGCAAACTGGCAGTGGCTGTAGGCAAGGCCTGGGGGATGACAGGAAGAAACATAATGAATCACATGCTCTGTCGATCCTTGGCTCCATTTGATGTGTTGTCTGAATGTGATCTGAGTTTCTTTTGCTTTGCATAAAGTGACCTATTATATTCAAATGCTTGTACAATATTCTGTGCCCTTGACTTAAACTACCATTAAGCATTATTACCTTAATCTGCATGTTAGCAGGCATGAAAGAAACATTCAAGTGGGTCTATATTGGAAATCATGTAGTCATGTAGTTACTTAAGTGGAATACTTATGTTTATGAGAAGATAGATCTCTGAAACCCAGATACTGACATTAGGGGACAGCTGTTCACTAAAAATTGCAGGTCCTGTTTATAAATTTACCAGAAACATCTGGCTGACCACAGGTGGAGACAGCATGACACATTAATAAGGGAATGTCTTGATTCTGTGGAATTTTTACTGGATTTGAGTATCATCCTTGCCTTCATTTCTGTTTAGTCAAATGTCCTCTAATTTGTCATGAAAAGAATTTTCACTTTTTAGATATTCAGTATTGCCCACACTTAAAAAAGAATTTATTTTGAAGTACATTTAAGTGTTTTAAAGTTCAATACTATGAACGCATTTCATTATGAAACAGATCATAAAGAACTTCGCCCTTTTGCACACAAAAATGTTGACTCAACACTTTGATACAATTGGTGGTACAATTTTGGGGAGGGATGGCAGGGGAGGGAGAACAGGTACCAAATTTATGGCATGCTAAAAATAAATGTTCTTCAGAGCATCAAAAGCCTCTTTATGTATCAAAATAGCATCTCTGAAGGACAGAAATAAAAAGAGTTAAGTTAACTGGAATATGATTCCCTCTTTTTTGGAGTTCAAGTATAAGAATTTCTCCCTTCCCAATGTTTCTTACTGTAAAAATTACACTGACATAGGCACGCAAGTATTTTGCATATCAAGTGACTATCTTTATATCTTGTTGCGTGCAAAATCCCCAGGAAGACAAAAATTTGACACTAATAACCTTGTATTAGATGTGCCTGCACATATGACATGTTTCTGTCAACATCTATCTGAGGCAAAACAGCTTTTGGAAGCCCTACAGGGATTCAGAAAGCTGATTTTGTTTTCTCTTTTTCTAACCAATTCAATAATCTTCTATGAGTTTGTTTAAATTATCCATAAATGAAAAAGACTTGCCATTTTGTAGCTGTAGAAGTTTTGCTTGCATAATACAATCTTTAATACAATTATTGAGGAAAATTTCTTGCCATGTTGGTGGGTGATAGACAATAAACTATACTAGGTTGGCTGTAACTTCCAAACAGAATTTCCAGAAGGACATTTCTGTAAAAACAAGGCACTGAAATTTAAAGAGAAGCTTTGCACAAGTCTCTTGACTTGTCTGCCTGACTGAGATTTACTGAGATTAACCTTTCTATGCTTGTAAATTTCAGATCAGTTAAAACAATAAGCAAAAGACAAAGAATAGGTATTTGATCTTCCAAAGTCCATGACAAATCCAATGAGGAAACCATGATCACCAAATCCAAGAGTAAACATACGTCCTTTTATTAAGATTAAAGGGGTGAATAATTATTAGAACCCTCTTCGATGTGCCCTTGATTATATTTCATGTGATTATATTTCATCTCCATAGGCAAACAGTTGAGACTTTTGGAGGATAATCTCTGTTAGTCTTCTGGATATGCGAGGCCAAGAAAAAATGAGAAACAGAGAGTCAAAGAGAAGTGGGGGGGGAAAAAGAGCAGTGAATAAGATGGCAGAAAACAAATATATTTATTTGGTTGTGTCCAGCCTACTACTAGTCTGGTATATCAGATTTCTATCCCACATTATTTTCATGACCAATTCAAGCTGACAAACATACATAATACTTTCCTTCTCCTATTGTCCCCACAATAACAACCTTGTGGGGTATTCTGGTCTGAAAGAAAAGTAACTGCCCTAAAGTCATCCAGCCAGCTTTCATGCTTGAGTCAGGACCGGCACATGCCCCACAGATATCCTCATCCACCCACTACATTTGGGTCCCTACAGTTGGTTCGGAAAGGAATGTAACCCTCCCACAATAAAACAATATGGCCTATTCCACATTAAAAAGACAAAGAGTGAAGACAATGTATAGCTGAATTAGAGTATACACTCTTCCAGTCCAGCATTTTCAGTCCTTTCCAGAAATAGCAGGCCTTGGAAAAAGTACCAATAGGACCTGTGGCCTAATACTGGAGATAATACATTAGATCTACTCTTTGACAGCCTGATATTCCACAAGCTATGGACTCAAGAAATATATTCATTCTTAACCAGGTTAATGCAGTGAATGCAGCCAATGAGTTCGCTTGTATTATTCCATGAGTAACTAACTTGTACATTCACATGACCAATAAATAAATAAATAAAAACTCAGCCAAGGTAAAAGTTGCAGCTAAACAGGTGCTAGATATAGAAGTGATCTTCTCAAGCAAATTGTGTCATTGTTGTTAACAAAAGTAACTAGTGACAAGAGATAGAGAGGGGCAAGGCTGGCCCTCTTCTATTTTTCTTTTCTCACTATTACCTGTCAAGGAAAAGTGAGCAAAAAATTGCTCACATGAGAGGTCTTGGCATTCCTCCACTCTACTAGTAGCCTTGGATGGATGCCCACAATTTAAACCTCAGAAATTTCCTACATAGAGGGTTTTTACAAACCTATCAAAGCTTGAGTTGAAATCTTACTCCCTGAAGGCTATCATTAAATTCAGAAAGGGTTCTGGTGTCCTTTTCACATTATGCTTGCTTGATTTTCAGGAAAAGATTAAAATCCAGTTATTGTCCTTAAAGCTCTATCATTCCTCACATGCTCAAAGGCACTCTTTTCCTATCGTTTTACACCAGTTGCTGCTCGAAGATGGGTGCTGGAAAATATTTGGTTTCGCTCCACTTTTCTCTTTCACAGCACCCGATTACTCCCACCATCTCCTCCCCACGTCACCCTTCCCTCCCCTCCACCCCCATTTCGTTTCTATCCCTCCAGGCGCTGGTGTCAACAGAAGAGCGAGCGAGAGACCGCGGGGGAGAGAAATGGAGGCGGGCTGCCAAGGGATGCACGCAGGGCTGGGACAAGGTGCTCCCCTCCCCTCGGCTTCGTCAGACCCAGAAAGAAGCGAATCTCGTGCCACCGAGCGGGACTGGCGGTGGTCGCTCCTCGTGAGTTGAAGCAGCTGGGGAGGCGGCGCGGCCAAAGAGGAGGAGACGACCCTGGGCGGGCGATCGCCGCCCCTCCTTTACCCACCACCGACACTGCCGCCGACCTGACTGGGTTGCCATCACTGCAGCAGGGGGCTGCCATCGCCATCGCTTCTTCATCCTCCGTTCCTCGCTCTTTCTGGAGCTCTCGGGTCGCGTCGCCGTCCAGCTGCCCCGGCAACTGCAGGCGGGCGAGTGCACGATGCGGGCGGTCCTTGCCCTGCTTGCTCTGATCGGTAGCCTGCTCCTCTTCCTGTGCTTGGCGCGGCTCCCGGCCGGGAGCGCCGGGGGCGCAAGGTAGGCGGAGGAGACCCGGACCTTCCACGGGGGAGGCGTGGCTTAGGCAGAGTTCGTGGGGCACAGATGGCAAATGGGGGAGCCCCTATGCTGGATCGGGTGTACGTAGGACAAGGTCCCGCGGCGGCTACAAGAAGGATTAGCCACTGGGTAAGCGCGTGCTGGGGCTCTTGCTGACGGCTCCTCTCGCTGGATACTGTAGGATAACTTTGGTCTCTTTTGCTTGCTTCCTTGCTTGCCAGTACCTGGGACATGGAGGGCAGAGCTGCGACGGACTACACCCCCAGAGTGATGAGGTACCTCCGGTCCCCCACGAATGTCCACCTGGTCGCTCCGGTGGCTCCCAACAGGTAAAGATGGTGAGGGGGTTGCTATGTTGGGAATACATCTCTGCGTTATTTTGGACCAGAAAGGGTCACTGCATACATCAAACTGCGCTGAGTCTGAGGAGCATCTCAAAAGCTCTCAGCAGTTTGTCACTTTGGGTTGGGCAGTAATGTAAGGAATTAGTCCACAGGAAGCTAAAATGCCTCCCTCACCCTTCTTCTAAATGGCTGATTCAATTATTTCCTAAAGTTCAGTTGTCTATTAGTGCAATAATCTTTCATTTCAGTAATAGTTGGGCAAACATGTCTCATGCTCCACTTACAGTACTTTTAAAACTTTGTGTAAGTGTGCGAGACTATATACAGAACATATATTTCAAATCTCTTGAAATAAATCCCAGAGTTTCAGTAAATGTTATCTTAATACAACAGCAAAAAAACAACACTAATTTGTAAAACTGGAAAAATAGTATGCCTTGCCTTGGACTTGTCTTAGTTCCACATTAAAACTAATAGAATAATAATATTTCAGAAATAGTTTGGAAAATTATTTACTTCACACCCATTTCTGTTTCTTTCTAGGTTTCTTGAATTTTATCTCTTATTTTGTCTCCAGTCCTTTTTTTATGAGCTACTAGATGTTTTTTTAATGTGTGTGTGTGTGTGTGTGTGTGTGTGTGTGTGTGTAGAGTAAGATTTTTCCTGTGATTAATACCATCATTATTTAAAGAGATGAAAAATTTTCAAAAGAAAAGAAATTCATAGTTAAGCTCTTTGGCATCATATTTACTAGTGCACATATATCATTTGTTACACTAGCTTCTTATAAACCTCAGATTCTCACAGAGAATTATTGAAATATATCATTATATTCACACAATAAGCATGCAGCACAAAAAACTAAGTTGGAATTCAAATCAAATGTCGGTTGAATAAAGTTTGCAATTACTGTGCTTTAAAAAAACAATGACTGTTGTGTTCAGCCAAAGCAATGGCCAAAAGAGATGGTTTACAGAGACAGAGAGAATGGGAAGTAGAAAGCAAGCTTCCTGTTTATTTTCTGTTCTCTGTAAACAAAAGGATACCTCTGGAAAAAGCGCTCCTGTTATTTACTTTCAGAAAATCTCTTTGAGTTGACAGATTGGTTGATGCCAGTGAAAAACAGTAAGCACCAATGCCCTTCTTATGTTTACCAGGTTTCTCATTCTATTGCATTTGAAAATAGATTATTTTAGGAAGCAGGTAAGTATGGGGTAGGGACAAGGAATGAGACACCTCAGTTCAAGTCCATCCCCTCAATTATGGATGATCATCTGTTGGCTCTTGGTCTCTTTCAGTTCAACACCTCAGAGGTTTATTGTGGTAAGAGAAAAAGTAGGACAGAACACTATGCACCCTTGAGCTCTTTCATTAAAAGTGGGGCATCGATCAAATCAGCCAATCAATATCATAATGCAAACCACTGGTCTTTTCCATTTATTTATTGGAATGCCTTTAGACTCTTAAAAGATATCTTTTTATCCCCTGGAAAGATAGTGCATCCTAATAAGTTCATTTACCTCTTGAAAATTTAATGTTTTTGTTCGGGATAATAGATCTGGTTGCATATCTGCAGAGAAGTACAAGAAGATGTATAAAATTTAACTCTTTGCTGTTTTCATGTCGAAGTTGTCTGAGTTTCCAGCTTCAATTTGACAGTTCTTTGGCCCTTCCCATTTTAAATAGGCACATTTCCATGGTAACCCTTTGGGAATGGAGCAGCCCACATCTGCTCCCAGTGTATCAAATGTATCCTGTTCCACTGTTGTGTGATGTATCTATATGAAATCAATTGTCACGTAGGAAGCACATATTATTTTAAGATCATTTATTGCTTGTTGTATTGCAATGCTTTACAAATATAAATTTAAACATGTAATATAAACATTTACTATGAGCCAAAAAATTGAGATGCTCCAAGAAGTCCACAAAGGCATACAGAAAATTTATAACATTTTATTATTATCTAACAGTCGTCTGGATTTTTGTAGTCCAGATTTGATAGCCCTACATTTAAAACACACACACACACACACACACACACACACACACACTATTGTTCATACAGGCATTTTCCTGGTAGATTTATAAATGTTAAACCACTGCTATGGATGGTTCAGTAGAAATTATCTTGTCTAAGAGGATGTGCTCCATTCCTTGATTCCAAGAAATTGCAAAATAAGATCTAAAGAGGGAACAATAGGTTAACTATATTTAATTTGCAAAAATCCTGACAGCCTCTAGATGCCAGCAAAGATGTACAGATATAAATATATACATTGCAGTGCAGATGTGGTAGCCCTAAGTAGAACAGTGCTATACAATAAGCTGCAGAGGATTGCAAGCTGCATCTCCAACATCATAAAGAAAGGAGAAAATTTTGAGTTTGGTGGAAGGTTGAGATAAATAATAAATTTAGAAGTTAACAGCAAAAACCAAGCAAAAGAAACAAATATACCAACACAGCATAGCATCCTGTCATTGATAATTGATTTAGCTTAGTTTGGATTTCTCAAACATTGGTAGTGAGAGTTCTGAAGTTAGGCTCGGGCTGCAAAATGGGGAGCTATGAAAATCTCTCTCTCTCTCTCTCTCTCTCTCTCTCTCTCTGTGTGTGTGTGTGTGTGTGTGTGTGTGTGTGTGTGTGTCCCATTGACTGCACATCCCGACTGACCCAGCAACCAACTGCATCCAACTCTGCAGATGTCTGAGAAAAAATTACAGAGCTATAACTAGAATAACTAGAATTTTTGTAAGGAGTTATGATATGGACCCAAATTTAGTAATGCTTAGAGGAAGTTTGCTGAAAATACTGAAATGAGACAAGTTAGTTATTACTAACTTAAATCAATTTAAGATGTTGATTTTAATATGCTTACTCTAAGCACAGCAATGGTTAGAGTAGATCTTTCCATTATGATTTTGAGAAATTACAAAGACAAATGGAAGCTTCGGATATTACTTACATCAAATAATATTTGTATTATTTCAAGTTTTCATTCATGAAGGCTTGCAGAGATAAAAAAAGAAAAAAGCCTTTAAGAAAGTAAGAAGGAAATACTGAATTCTCATGTTGTGATAAATCACAATGTCTTTAATTTATCTTCAGTTGCTTATTGAACGAAATGATTAACTCAAAACATGGAATTAAGCCCACACAAAATAATTTACATTGATAATATCTGATGCAAATATTTTGTAAATAGCTTTTCAAATTATTTTTAAGATTTTTGTTTTAAATGTTAAAGGATAGGAATTTAAATTGCTTGATTTGTACTGTCTAGAAATTTTTAAATATTGATGATACTGTACTTATGTGTTTCAAAATTAAAACCATACTTAAGCAGTAAAAAAAATAACAATAATTTACATTCTGGCTTAGGACAATTAGGTAAAAACACAAAAGTATATTTCACTTTGCTAAAACTACTTATATGATAAAACAGTTTTTTGTCTGTGCCTCTGTGCTTGCCTGATACTGTTTTGTTCTGCCAAAGTATTTTTATGATCCAGAGCACTGATATTTTTATAATCTGTCTGACTGTCTCTCTGTTTCATTGTGGAATGCAGTGATTAGGTTTCACACCATGGCTGAACAGTGCTAATTACTTTATAGATTTGACTACCATCTCTTAACTGTTGTTTTCTTGTCCTTTTGCTTGGCTTTTAACTCTGGTCACAATATTAGGAAGCAGAAAAATAGAATAACAGAATTGGAAGCAGAATAATAGAATAACAGAATTGAAGCTCCTGTATTATTCAGGACAAATGGCTATCCAATCTCTTCTTAAAAACTTCCAGTGATGGAACAACCACAATACCAGGAGGCAAACTGTTTTACTGATTAATTGTTCTCATTGTCAGGAAATTTCTCCTTAATTCTAGGTTGGATGTCTCTTTAATAACCTTCTATCTGTTACTTCTTGTCCTACCCTCAGGAAAACACTTTTCTCAAGCCACAACAGCTGCCTTCGTTATCAACTTTTACCAAGTCAAGGGCCGACTTTTAGACCACATCAACAGCCAAACATTCCTTACTGTGATTATTGAAACATTATTTTTCAATGCCAGTTTCTTTAATGTTGTAGGAGCCTGCTCTCAGCCAAGTGGTAGTGAGATACAGTATTAGCTGAAGGGAGGTGGAAAGGAAGCTGTTTTCAGGGATGAAACAGATTACATCAATATATTGGGCTATATTCAACTAAAATTCATGGCTGATTATTGTAAAAGGTTGTGTGCAATTCAGCCCTTATTTCTCAAAGGGTTTAGAGATATCCCTTCTTCCAAGTGCTTTGTGAGTTTCTTTGTTTATTCTTGGTAGCTCCCCTACAGGATTCAGTATTGACGTGCAAATCCTGGGAGGAAGTGGGAAGATGTCATTTTGACAAATTTTTAGCAAAACACTCCAAGCTGCTTCATAGGATAATGTGCGTCCTTTCCATGCTTTGGAGAAGTGCAAAATGAAATGGCCACATGGGTTTGCTTCTCCTGGTTTGCTTCCTTTCTTTATGCCCTCCTGTGGCCAGAAGCAGACTCCACAGAGGTTAGAAAAGCTATAGAGATTTCTGTGGAGTGCAGCATCTACAGAAAAGACACCTATAATTATCCCAGCAGTTGGATGGAAGCTTCTGTGTTACACATAGAGCGCTTATGGAAGAGTTGAAGAAGATGGACTATGTGAGCTGCATTTCACCTTTACCTCAAAGAACATAACATCCCTGGGGTATGAAGCTTTTTGCCAGGCTGTATTTAAGTTGCCTACCAGAGACCCAGTGCTTACAGCCATTGTAATGGTTTCTCTCTACTGCATTGCAACCCTCTTGCTGAGGCAACAAATATCACAAGGAGTTGTTTTTCAGCTTGGCAATTTTAATTTTCAAGAGCTTCAACTCTCAGAGTTCCCAAGCCAGCATATATGAACTCATTTGTTGCTGTGTAGAATAACTAAATTGCTATTTATTTGGCTTTTTTATAGGAGCAGAATGAATGAAGAATAAATGGAGAGATTGGGAGAAGGAGGGGGAGAGAAAAGGAGAGAGAGGGAGAGAGAGAGAGAATGAAAACGAGAATATTTGGAGAAAGAAAAAATATTTAGAATAAAAACTTAAACCCAGGGTCACAGTGCCACATACAATTAGCTGGATACCCAAATTACAGGGAAAAAGAATCAGCTGATACAAAGATTAGAGCAAAGCAGGGTGTCTAAGTATTTGCTTTAACTATAAATAACCACTGATTTTGGGTAAATTAATTTGTTCTAATAACTGCTCCAATTATTAGGACAAATTAATAGTTAGGATGGTGGTACCTGAAGTTGCTTTGTTTTACTAAAGTTTTCTGCTTTTTACTATTCCTCCAAATACAACTTGAATTATCTGTTTTTAATGGCAGCATCAAGCTTTTGCAATTCTAGTGCAACTTCACTTCAGGTAGCTGTAAGAAGGAACCATTGATTTATAAGCAATTGCATTTTGACACATTAATTCTGAATGTTTTATGCTGGGCAGTTTGTACTATTTAATACAGGTAACCTAGATTAGGGTGCTATTTTACTTTAGAACTGTTCTAGGGACAACTGCCTAGCATAAGTTGTCCAGCATAAAACATTCAGAATTAATGTATCAGCATGTAATTGCTTATAAATCAATGCTTCCTTCTTAAAGCTACCCTGGAGTGAAGTTGTACTAGAATTGCAAAAACTTAATGCTGCCATTAAAAACAGATAAGATGCTGTGATTTTGTTTTTAAAAAATAGGATTTTGAGAACACTTTAAAAAACATTTTATATTTATTGTAAAATATGTCAATACAATTTTGAAATGTATTTCTATTAGAGTTAAAGTGGGTGTTCTATTTCTTTTAATGTGTTTCTGATATACATTAGCATCTTTACAATGCACTTCAATAAAAAATAAAGTTTAAAAAATAAATTCTGCATTGCGTGGAAATTCAAAGTCATTCTTCTTCAGATTGAAATAGATCTCATTGGTATTTCTTGCTACTTTTATAATTTGAGCAGTTACTTATCTTTTCAGCAATTCATTGTGCTTTTGCAAAGAGTGTTTGTTCTTCTTTCAAATGGATTTTCCTTTTTATATAAACAGAGCAATTCTTAATACAGCCAGAGTGCAGAAATCTGAGCAAGCCTCCAAATGCAAGGATATATGGAGTAATAATTGGTCATCATCGATCAAGAAAAAAAGGTAAAGTGTCTGAATTCAGTTATAAATGTACTTGACTGGCAAGCAGCAATTTTACAATCCTGAACAGCTAAGTGTATAGTGTAGCAATTTTAGGTGTGAAAAATCCATTGGCATCTCTTATAGGAATTTGGCCAAGATCTTTTAGTCATTGAATTGACCAACATCTGGTTTAACATAAATATGGTTACATTAAGAAATTATTATAGCATCATACCCTACTATCATGGCACCTGCTGTCTAGACTGGCATCTCTCCAAAGTTTCACATGGCTCCAATTCCATTGCCCAGCAAATTAATTTTAATTATTGGTTCTTTCCCCAGGCCCTGGGGTAAGAAATTGTTTTTGGTGCCTTTTGGTTATCAGACTGGCTTTTTGTTTGTTGTTTGCTTTTATCATTTTTATCCAGCCTTACTTATAATTTAGTGTTTTGTATTAGCTGGGTTTTTTTTGTATCTGCTTTGAGTTGGTTGACTTGGGTAGCTCTATAAATTTGATGCCATCAAGTATATAAAATGACCAGAATTCTGATATGGAATATGTATTTTCCTATTCAGAGATATGTCCACTGGTGAATTATACTGTATATGTAGATACAAAGATGGAGGTTGGAATCGAGATAATATGCTTTGTACAAAAATACTGCTTATTGGCCAAGCAAGGATAGAGTCCAGATTGGTATGGAAATTGCCCCAATGACATTCCATGGAAAGTTTGGGCGCCTAAGTTATGTTGGACTATCAAATCATATTCCTTAGATTGCCCACAATGGCACCAACTGAGATCATTCTGGTGCATTGTAGACACTAAAACCAATGCCTTGATGCCATTATAAGAATAGAATAGAATAGAATAGAATGGAATGGAATGGAATGGAATGGAATGGAATGGAATGGAATGGAATGGAATGGAAT